CTGCTGTCACTCATATTACTGTGATGGGTATTTTTGTTCACTTCAAGTGGCTGTCCCACGTGGAAGGTTGATAAGCTTCATACAGGTGTCAGGTAGGAAAATGAGTTCTCTAATTTACACACAGCAGATAGTAACATTTGAGCTGGTCATTTTGAAAATTGGCTTTGTTTCAAATTGGCACAAAAATACACAGAGAGATATATCGCACAACTTAAAAAAATGATTGGATTAAAGAAACATTTAATTTTGATAACAGCAATATTTTATGATATATTTTTATTTTACTACAAATTATAGCTCCAGGAAAAAAGATATTTTGAAATGAAAGACTGAAAAAAAAATTACATTAAACAAAATGTTTATTTATTAACATACTTCATTTCATAACTTTACCAAAATTATCCTTTTTCTACAGATATTTTGAGTTGTTTTTAAATTTCACCTCTACTTTCTGCTCCAAAACCACTTAGGTTCAGTTCCTACTAACAATGCTTTGTTGGCAGACTGTTGATATTTTTTTTAATGTTATTTTATCAGAAAAGGTGGACTTTGCAAAATGTAACTGTTTGTAGACATGGACCATTTCAACAAAAATCTCATCTGGACGTTGTCTCAGGTCCAGGTAGAATTTCTGGCTACAATTAGGAGAATGGGGTTTGAGTGCTTCGTCTACCTGATTAGGGCTTCTAATGGCTCTATCTCCCACTCACGAGGCATTTTTAGACAACACGCCGTTTCCTGTTTCGGCTGCTGCAACTTCATTTGTGTTTGCACAATCGGGATTTCCTGCCACTTTAAAAAGCACTCTTTTTGGTGCTTTTAGCTAACCCCGCTCAGAGAGGTTTTATTTCCTAGTGCCTGGCTTAGCACGCCTAATTGTGTTGTGCGCACACTGAGCTTCTCAAAGCATTTCAGAGACCTGTAATTGGTTTCCTTTGCCAACAGGTGGTGCTGTGCTTTTTCTTTAGTCAGTAGGTGGTGCTGTGTGTTAATTTTATGCTATCCTTAACCCCTTTCTCCCACTGCTCAGCTGACCAGGTGCGGGTTTGAGTGAGGTGCACCTTACAAAATACTTTCAAACTGCAATTCTTGTATTATTTTAAATATGCACACGTAGGAAAATGGCTGAGCAAGAGCAACCCCACAGTGGTGTGCAACAAGTGGTAGTTTATTACCCCTTGGTAATTATTTTCCCACCACCTGTAATGTATGTGCTCCCCGTTTACCCCCCACCCACACCCCCTGCAGGGTTCATAGATGCCCAGCATCAACAGAATGGTAAATTTGCAAAGTTTTGAGTTTGCTACCCCTACCCTAAGACTTCCTTGAACATTTCTCTTTTCAAACTTTCCTATTTCAAACATTCCCATTCCAGAACCACGGAGAACAGTCCAGGTGGACGCTGCCTGTCACACACGCCATTTAACATATCCACCAGCCCGCCTGTTTCGTGTCTTCTTTCTTCCCCCTCTCTCTGAACAATGCAGCAAGCCCTCTGACCAATGAAGGAGAGAAAAAAAGAAGAACAAAGTGTACAGATAGTGTTTAGATTTTGTATAGATATTTTATATAGATATAGAGAGATATTTTGTATAGATGGAGATAGCTTTAATATTTAATACTATTTATATATAATTTTCCTTACTTTAATTATTATCTATTATTTAAGTACTTTTACTTAGTTTGTCTTTTTATTTTATTTTGATAAAAAAAGTACTGCTTTTCTGTTAATAAAAGTTTTGTAATTTTTTTGTCTATATATGTGTGTGTCATGTTTTATTTCATAGGCAGAATGGCATGGCTAATCGGGCCTGTGTGGGGTGGGTTGGCAGACCTGATCACTGTGTCCTCCTCAGCCGGTGTGGGGATGCTTTGCTTCAGCGGGGCCATTTATGGAGCCATGGCATTACTGGAAAGAGTTGCAGGGTGGGCTGTTATTGGAAGTCGAATGCTTGTTTCCCCACCCCCCCTGCAATCCTTGTGAGCCGGTGGGTGAAGCCAGCATCCTCCACACCCCCCACTGCCTCCCCCCAGCCACAGTGGCAAGCAGGCAAGAAGGCATGCATGGACCCTTACTTAACATGAGATTGAGGGCAATTAGCAACTCTTTCTTGTATTATAATGCATGGTCCCGGGGGAGGGGGGTGTCCCCCCAGAACCTGGAGCATCTTCAAACAGTATTTTTTCTGCCCATCCATCCCTCCCTCCCTCCCACCCCTTGCTTCCGCACCACAGCTGACTGCAGGGAGTCAGGTAATGAAGGTACCATATTTTCACGTATATATCCCGTGGGGTATATGCGATTTTACCAAAAAAAATGTATGTGTGCAGGCTATACGGGGGTGAGGGCTATCCACGGACTTTTTTTTCCATGGGGGCCAGGGCCGGGGCCATAGCTGGCTTTTCAGCCTCCCCGCTGGGCCTGGGCAGGCCGGGC